CATCTGCAGTTCCTACTATTTCTGTCAAAAATGCTTCATGTTTTACATTTGTGTGACAACCAGCGGTTCATCTGCCAGTGGTTTAGTGCCACACTACTGCAACCATCCACTAAGTTACACAGAGACCAGATGACCCCGAACCCTGCACCCAGTTAACATATTTCAACAATTACGATTTTTAAAAAATTCAACCTGTTCAGAGATTTTATTACACACTTCTGGAGCAGGTGTGACATGAACCCAGGCCTCTTGGCTCAGAGGTAGGGGCATTACTATTGCACCACAATTGACCTCATTGTTTCAGGGAGGATAGGAAAGTTACAGCAGTCCTCATTTCTAGCCAGTGATTTTGTTGCTTTGTGGTTAACAGCAAGTATCTTTACTCCAACCATACTCAGCTGCAAGAAAAGCATGATAGCAATTTTTTGCTCTATTCTGTAATGGGAACAATGGTAAGATTTTGTTTTTGGTCCTATTCTTCATGATCAACAATTATCAATGTTTTGAAAGGAAGCCTTGTCCATATTTTATGAACATAAACTGTATTGGTTATTCAGTGGTTAACTCATCTACAGGATTATTTGCCTCCTGTCATATGCATAACCCAAAGAATTCACCAGATCAAAACTGTTGCTGGGTGTCCAGAAGAGATTTTTGAAACCAGATTGCTGAATCTACTAAGGTAATTTTGCATTCAGATGGCTGTGAAAAACACAGAGTGTCAGTGATAACAGTATCATTCTTTAATATAATGGTTCTCAGACACCAAGTCCCACACTTCTATTCGTAAGATCCTTTCCTGGTAATCTTAACCTATTTCTGGGACTTCAGTGTGACTTATTAAAGTCTTTCTTCGCTTTCAGTAATCACCAGGATCAAATTGTAAGTGATCTGTACTCTACACCTACATGTTACTGTTTGATCACGTGTAATAGTTGATTCCACTTGCATTTGTCTGTGGCCATAAACAGTCACTGTTAACACCTAGAGACCCCCACAGTAAAGTCAGTCAAGGTAGATGAGTATTCTAAATTTCTGATCTAGTATAAAGCCTATGTATTTGTTTGAAAGTGCCATGAAATCATTAATTCAGTATTAATCAAGTATGTGAACGAACTGCTAAATATTTTAAAAGAATTGCTGTTTAACGGATGAAAATATTTTTATTAAGGATTTAGTGACTGGAGGACATTGAAAGTGTTTATGCAAATAAAATTTACTAAAATTGACAAATTATTATAACGCCAGTTAAAAGTAGAATTTTGTAGTCTTTAAACAGCTTAATTCAACTACTTAATTCAACATAAAAGTGCGATGAAGCAAGGTGAAATAAATTTTAAAATCTTACACGAATTTTGAACTTCAATTCATCTACTCATGGCTTACAGGGAAGATAGTGAATAATATAAATTAGAATGCATGCAAACAAAATAAAGACTTACCATTATTTTAAACATTAATGTTAACATTTTGAGCTGACAATAGCGTTAAGCTTGATCGATGTAATTGTTTAAAACTTACTGTTACATTCAAAAGCTTCTAAATTTTTAGTCACTTGGTAAAACTCATTACCATGCTCATGTCGTCAAACCAAGTTACTTGGAAATAGGTAGAGCTTTTTATTGCACAGTAGCGAGAATGCATTCGCTCTCTAGAGTGAGACAAGTATTTTTCTCCAGACATCTGATGTACTGATGCTACAAGTCAAGCCTCAAGGTGTCATTCAGTTCTGCTGGAGCTTATAATCATCCAGAACCATGTAGCTTGCTAGCAAAAAACTCTGCTAAACTGACTGCTCATCCAATTAAGACTACCCTAACATTGTGATTTGTTTATAGGGTTATTGAGAGTGGATTTGAACGAATTCTACCCCTTAGTAATAAGACTTGCAGTGATGCAAGTTGAGAATAAAACGAATGCTGTATTTGTAAGGTATGTCACTATTGATAGAGAATGGTAGTTTTAGCACTATGGAAAACATGGAATAAAGACTGAACAAGGCTTGTACAACGGGTGAGTATGTGATCACACAGTTGAGGACTTTACTGAATTTTTGTTTCCCCTGCAGGCAGATCACATGCAAGTTACGGTTACCCAAAGAGAATACATTGCTCATTAAAACTGTTGATAGGGATATTTTTAAGCTTGTTAGACATACAGTAGACAAGAGGAAACATTTATAAAATCAGCAGTAAAATGTGAATGTATTGCCATCACCTCCTGCCCACAACACAGACACATTATATCCCATTAAATAGTGCTTCCAAAAATTGGAAGAACTTTAGCAGCAGTTGCTTGAATCTTCAAATCACAATGGGCACTAAAGGATAGACACGTGAATTTGTACCTAATTTCCAGGGTGATATCAACAAATAATTGAATTAAGTCTGTTTCTTGATCTGCAATATGATCAGAATCTGTTTTCAGCTGTAAAAGAACTCTGAACATTCCAACAACTTGCATTGCTAAAGTACTTTGAATGCAAATTAAAACACACATGAAGCGCTTCACAAAAGAAAATGGATACCAGGCATTAGTTAAGAATGTTTGGAGAGAATAATAAGAGATGCATGCTTTAATATACAAATTTTAACGAGGTTTTTCCAGGTAGGTGGAGGCAGAGAATTTTAGGAAGTTGTAGAAATCAGTGTTGAAATCACTAAAAAGCAAGGCCATCAAACTTTCACAATCCCTTTGAGACAACTAATTTAGTAGGTTAAATTCCAAATCCTTCCCAATGCTTAGTGGTGATCAGTTGCTTGGAATTATGAGAATTTGTTTTCAAAACATTTAGTTGATCTCAAATGCTTTTAACAGGTTTAAGTGTTTATAAGTGACAATTTTGTTTAAAAATCTACCCTCTTTCCAGAACTAAAATAATCAAATATTTAAAACCACAATAATAAGTGGCAAATACAGTATATTTGTGCACATCTGGGTTATTTTGCAAACAAGCAAGAATACTTGAATTGCAAGAAACAATTTACAGCAAATCTGTAAAACTTTGCTTGATCACAATCTTTTCCTCAATGAATTAGGATTCGATAACAAACAACATCTGGCGAGATGCAGGCTATTTAACAAAATTAATAACAAACATTTAAAATCTCTGTAAAACTTTATTTCTATACTTGCATTATCATTATGATCTGTAATATCCCAGAATGTTTAGCTGTTAAAAGGCACAATCCTACAGAATCTGAAGAAACGTTCAATTTTGATATCTACATTATAATGGAGAGACACATGACACAGAAAACATACCCCGGAGCAGGCTGTCTGGAAAACATGGCTTTTTATATTTCAAAGTTCAACCAAGGAGAAGTTGCAACCACTGATTTTTTTTTAAAATCAAAATACAATACCTGAGAAGCTGAATTGAAGCCCAGCAAGGCATCACACAGTAGATAACACTCAATAAATATCAATTTTTGGTACAAATTTTGAAAACAGCCACCTTTTCAGGGAATGTAACCTCAAAATCAAAAAGCATTTCAGCAAACAGTCTGAGGAACAGGAATGGCTGTGCTAGAATTTATGATCTTAACAATGTCTTGCTGTACCTCATCACACTCACATTTTCAATTATTCATAGGTAGTGTTAAGCATTTATGTTCTGGAAAGTGCAGGCCAAAATACTGTTAAAACTAAAGCCAGTGGCCAGTTCAACATTGCTGTTGTATCCATGTATTTGTTTGATTTTGGTCTTCCCCAAACAGAGTTTGAATTTCATTAATTCTAATGTGTAATATATACATGGACTACATTCACTGATCTTTGTCACAACTGAATATGATTGTAAGTAGTCTTAACAGGTGCATTTTATCTTTACATTGCATTTAATAAAATGCATTTATTTTTAACTGGAAAACATTGCTTTACAAGATTACTATGATGGGTAATAGACAAATTTGCGTAAAATTAATAATGTGCCTTTCAAACTTTCACACTTATGCGTGCAACTCATGTTATCACAAAAAATGCTCAGTAACAGTTTTATTTTTGAACAAGTTTTCATGTAAGGCAGAGTTTGTAAGTTTTCAGGGTGAATCTGAATTGCAGTATACTGTAATAAAAACAGTGTGGATATTTTGTGTAAAAAGCTTCAAAAATAAGGAAACCCCCAAACTGTTTCTATAAAGAAACACTACCATGGGAAATCTTCCTTGCAGTTATATGCAAAGCAGAAGGGTGTGATTATTTGTAGTACCCAAGCACTACTAAACATCAAATTTCATTTTAAATTACTTCAATTGTGAAGGGATTCAGCAGATATGTTTTGTCTTTATGGGAAAAAAAAATTGAAAAACATTATATGGCTATGTATCCAACCGCTTAACGGATAGTTTAGTTTGTAGAACCTAGAGTGGGAACAGCAAGGCCCTTTTTTGTGGGATTGACTACTTATACATTTTAAATTACTTCCCATTTATGAATTTAATTGTATTAAGAATATTAAATACAGCAAACTTTGTTTTAACTGGCACCTTACCAACTGACACTATTGATTTAAACCAACAAAAATTATATATGTCAAATACTGCAATCTACTTCGATGTCTGAGTATTTATGCTGTAAATAATGTATTAAAAAAGTCGTGTATACCCCTTGCATTACATTTTTATTACTTACTATGTGTCTTTATGTTTATTTTAGGAGGTATGTTGATGATTTTTTGAGGGATGTTGATGTCTCGAAGCTTTGCTTGGTCAGAGTTTACTGCAGTTATGCATACCTCTTGATTATCCAGAATATTTGATCAACAGGCACACTCCTGATCTCATAAGTGCTGGTTAATAAAAAGTTTGCTGTGGTTGTGGTACTATAACAAAGCAAATAGGAAAGAGTATTCCACTTGCTCTAAAATGCTATCAAAGCCTTACAGAAAGTAGCTTCACTGCATTGGCATGACAATAATTATAAAGGCCCCTCAAATCACAAAAAAAACTTAAATATTAGAACTCTAACTATAAATATCATCTCAAAGGCTTTCGTAATCCATGATTTTACATTTGGATCTGCCATTGCATTCGGTTCCAAATCTAATTTATCATTGTTTAGCATGCATTTTCTTCCTTTTGTAAAGATATTTGCAACTTACTCAAATCAACAAAGAGGAAATGTATATGTAGCACTCTGGTAGTTATTTTAATGTAGGAGATAGTACAGATTCCTGATGCAAACATGGTTTTTCATTGCACCTTTTCACTCCCTCCCATTTCCATGATAATTTTGTAAAAAGCTAAAAAAACTTAGTTGCACCAGAGATACAAACAGAGATGCTTTGTAGTACTCATCACACCCATCTACAGAAGGCATCAAGATGCATTTCTTGTTTCCCAAACACCCAAAGTTAACAGAAAACTGATTATTGAGCCTTTTTCTCTTCAAGAGAATTGTATGGTCATAAACATATATATTACACACAATTCTACTATTCAAAGGAAAAAGGTGCAATTATATCTCCATTATGAAATAATAAATTACTGCTTTTTACTCAACACTTTCCTGCACATTCTGCATCACAGAATTTAACCTGACGATAGTGCTTCCTTGCTGAAGGTAACACTGGTCCTACAAATATAAAATATAAGTAGCCAAGCAAGCACTATCAAGGCAATGCAGATTCACAAAAAGTGCACATAGTTTATATTGTTTAGGTAACACTTTTTACATTCCTTGATGATTTGAAAATAGACATTTAACAGAGATACAAATTCTGAATAAAAGTAACCTATAAGATTCAGTAAAGTTTACAGACCGAGACAATGGCAAATGACTATGTGGTAACATGAATAGAAATTACATAACATGATAGAATTCATAAAAGCCTAAAAACTTTTGCTTCAGTTACAAGCCTCATACCGTTGTTGCTTTCTATTAGATTGATGACTATTCAGAGGCAGCATTTTCTCGCTATGATGAATTCTGTTAACATTACTTTACGTGACAAGGTTGGGATAGGGATGGGAGTTTGTGGGGGAAAAGAAGCTACAAAAGCACAGTTCATACCTTCTTGCTGCTATGTATCTTTCTAATTTCAAATGGCTCAGCAAGTTGGTTGTGATTTTGGTGAGCAGCAGGAATAGTTTCTCGATGCACTGGACAATATCATACTCAAGTGGAAACATACATTTTTAACAAGGCCATGGTATGTCTGCAATATCCCTCATTGTGAAATAACTCATTATAACTCATAACACATGAATTGTGGAAAACTGACTAAAGTACTGGAGATATCTAACACCTGATTAACACTGTCTTATCAAGAGATGGAAGAGGGGAATAGATTATCACGGGAAAAAAAAAATCAATTTTAGCCATGCTTGAAATACTTTATGAGAAAAGGGCAAACAAAGATTGTGAATGCATGTTAGTTTGAATGAGTGAATCATAAATAATTTTAAATAGTTACTTGTTTTAATAGAATTCCATCACCTATCCGAATAAAAGGTTTATGAACCAATAGATTCTAAAGAAAAAATAACAAATATTTTAAGAGATCTAAAAACCCACTACTTGGATCTTGAGTTGTAAACCGCACAGCTATTACCATATGGACATTATGACAAAATGTTCGTATCAAAGTCTGTAAAGTTACTAAACAGTTCTGTCCATGTTAATGGTTACAATGATGATCTGAGATAATCACATGGTTTTCTCAGTGGCACTGAACATGATTTTAAAGCAACAGTTGAACCATGGGTCTCTTAATGTTGTATTAAATTAAAATAGATAGTACTATTGTAATATTTCAAAATATGAATATTGTAAATTTAAGTTCCCCACTACCCCCAAAATTGATGGGATTAAAAATACAGTAACTTGATGACTGATATAAAGCCATTCATGTCACAGGAGTCCTCAGAGTTAAAAGGGAGGTGCTTTTACGCAGAATGGCATTGATAAATTTTCTGACTGATTACTTCTTGTCCCAGGTGGTGCAGCTTTTAAGTAATGAAGGTTCATCCATCATGTCATGTATCATTCACGTTATTGACTTCAAAGTCTAAAACAAATACACTGGAAATGCAAAATTTCCTGCATATTTGCCATCAGCACTTCTTTTAATCACCAAGTAAAAGGTCATCTTCAAACTGTTTTGCTCTCAGAATATTTGATTTGTAAATTTGTGGAGGTAACTCTGTATAAATGGCCTTGACAATATTAAATGAATGGTCCCTTTTCCCACACGGTAGCAGCCATAACCCATGAGTCCCATAAGAGTTGCTTTAACTGCAAACTTGAACACTTTAGCAGCTAATGAAGGCGGTGGAACACTGTTAAAACAAAAACAAAATAATTAGTTGGGGAAGCAACAAAGGAAATCATGAAAGTCAAACTGCAAATACAAAACTGAGCTGAGAAGAATTTTACTGCTTTAAAAGATACAGTTTAATAAGCTATACATTGCACAAAGACAGTACAAACATGACAGGCAGGTTATGGACTTTTTTGTTTCACACAATGACAAGATCGACGGAATTGCAGTTATTAGATGGCCCTGGCTAACACAGCAAATTTTCTCGTCTTTGTAGGGGCACAATAAATTAATTTTATTGAGCCTTCATCCTAATTATTATAAGATGTGTATGTTAAACTGAAAAGTACTACCTTTCCACCACAATACCTGACAACAGACATGTCCAAAAATTGTGCGAAAAAGTTGCCCCTCAGGTCCATTTCAAATCTTTCTCCTCTCACTCATCCGAGGGAAAATATCTTGGCTATTCACCCTATCTATGCCCCTCATGATTTTATAAATCTCTATAAGGTCTCCTCTCAACCTCCTACACTCCAGTGACAATAGCCCCAACCTATCCAGCTTCTCCTTATAACTCAAATCCTCCAATCCTGGAAACATCCTGGTAATTTTTTTCTGAACCCTCTCCAATTTAATAATATCCTTCCTACAGCAGGGCAACCAGAATTGTACATAGCATTCTAAAAATGGCCTCATCAACGGCCTGTATAGCCTCAGCATGATGTCCCAATTCCTATACATAATGGTCTCAGCAACGAAGGAAAGTGTACTAAATGCCTTCTTGACCACCGTGTCTACCTATGATGCAACGTTCAAAGAATTATATACCTGAACTCCTAGGTTTCTCTGTTTGACAACACTACCCAGGGCCCTAGCATTAATTGTAAAAGTCCTACCCTTGTTTATTTTACCAAAATGCAATAGCTCGCATTTATCCAAATTAAACTCCATCTGCCACTCCTCAGCCCATTAGATAACCTTCTTCACTGCTGACTACAGCCAATTTTGGTATCATCCGAAAACGTACTAACCATGCCTCAAACAGTTTATATGAATTAGTGAACCATATATAAATGACACGAGTAAACCAGTGGTCTTTAATTACCCAATTCCAGCTTTTTTTATTTATTGAATTGAAATTCTCCCAGCTGTTATGGTGGATTTGAACCCACTTCACCATCTCTGCTGACATGCATAGTACAGTAAGTGGCCATTTCAGTCTGTGCTGGCTTAGAGAGTAATCCAATTAGTTCCACCCTTTTCCCTGTCTTTTTCATCAAGTGATACAGCTTGCTGCATTTGGACTTTTCATAGAACACCATGGACAATTTACTAATTAGCAACAAATCAAGATAGACATGAATTTTAAAAAGAAAAATCAGCTTTTTGAGTATTCAATTCCAAGATGTGATTTCCAAGTAAAATGTTCATTATATTTTGAATGAACAAAGGTTGATTATTGGTAACTTTCAAACTGAATTTTATATTTTCAGGTCTTGCAACCATGGACATGATTAATATTTCTGCTTTGAGAAAAAGATCATCTCATCAAGTCATCCATTAGGTTTTGAATGAAAAAGGGAAGCAATACACGAACATGGTTGGTGAATTATTACTGTGCAGTAAGTATAAATTTGTTTCAATGCAACGTACCACTACAGACATTTAAAACAAAATTGCCTATGAGAAGTTATGGTAAATATTACCTCATTAATTCTTGAATATTTAGTAGATTATTCCAGTTCTTTTCAATTCCAGGTATGTGACCCATTCCAACGACTCCTACCACAACAGATGGTATTTGCTGACTGGGTTCAGCTGCAGAAAGAGCAGAAAAATAATTGATCAGGTCCAATGGTGATAATTGCAGTGTGGTACAATAATAAAATCCTCTAGCTGGATATCCTAGAAAACATAGGATTTTCCTATAGAAAACATAGATAACATAGAAAACTATATTAAATTACTTGATTGACAAGATCATGTAAGACACACCAATTAAAAATACTATTACAAACAGTACATTTAAACATCTAGTAATTGTTTACACTACACGATAAGAATCGTAATGCATACACGTCAGTTCTAATAATTACATCCACTGTTTTACACAGTTGTCACATTAGCATCTGTAGGTGATCTTAACAAAATTATAGAAAAATTTGCTGATAAGTACATTTATGCCATCAACTTGTGGTGGCTTTATCCAGCCTGAACTTCAGGGCTTTTATCTTCATGTCAACTACTACAAGGTGATTGCAAAGGGAGTAAGTCATTCAGCCCCTCAAACCTAATCTTTGAAGTGGAAATACTTCATAAAATGGCCTTTGAATAGTGCAATTGCTTGTGGAGAATTCTGGCCCTGATCTGAGACTCATTGGAGGTACTCTAAGATTTTCACTCTTGAATTCTTTCCTACATACTTTGTAACAACTGAAAAGAGTTCCATAAGAATTACTGAGGTACTATTTTTGGACTGAATATCTTTTCCACCCAAACTCTCCCCATCTGCAATCCCACTTTACATGATCTATATAGTGGAAGAAAAGGAATACCAACATATTTTAAGACAAAGCCAGCTTAGGCTATTTAGCAGAATCTGCAAACTATGGAGCAATCAGAGAGCTTTCGCAGGATCTTGAATATTTAAAAGGACATTTCTTCAGTACTTATTTCTCAGAAGACAGGATTTACACTGCAGTATAATTTCTTGGGGAATAGCAACCAGTTATTGTCTAATCCAAGTCTCATACAACCGTTTTTAACCTTTTATTGAGTACTGGCATAATAAGTGCAAAAGAACCAGCATCAAGCACTCTCTTCACACATTTGTACTTTTGGCGGAAGTGACCCAATCAAGCAATAGACCAGACCCTGGATGAGGCAAAGTTTAGTACTCTACTCTTGCTTTGACTGATATTAGCTAAATCAAACATGGAATCTTCTTAGAATGCAACTGAAAGCTAAATATAAAAGTCTCCCCTGGTGACAGTTAAGTGCTAAACAAAATAACAATGACAATACTCATTCCAAGTACAGGCAATAAAGTTTCAATATAGGCTTACGTCCTAAAGCCAGAGGTAGTTCTAATGGCTTTGCTGCCTGCTTCAGCATGTAGGCCAGATAAACATCCCGTTCGGCAACAATGGTACGATGAAGGTCAGGAAACTCTCCAATCATTTCTGACATCATCTGCTCTAGAAGATCTTTTTGCTTGCACTTTTCTACGTCATCTTTACTGAAACAGGTAGATTAGTTAAAAAAAATTATGAACATTTTTCTACCAAATCCTAAAAATCACTGAATTAGAATGCACAGCTATCTTTACAACACTGATGTAATGTTATTTTGCTATATTTTTGCAAGGAGACAAAAATCACCAATAACCTCTCATGATCATGACCTAACAGTTACATCAGGAATTAATCCCGTGATTAGATTCAAGTGATGAAAATACGTATTAAGTTAATTACTAAATACAAAAAGTGCAACTCGACCACTTCAAAGAAAGACCTCTTCATCCATGTTTACAGAATATTGATAAGTTTACCAGGTTTTTTTCAGATGTTGAACATTGTTATGCATCATATTTCAGCAGAACAATACAATTTATAATGTACGCTTAGTTATTAATCACAGGATTGAAGCCTACAGTTCCATGAAATTATGAAGTATTTATCCATACCTGATAGGATCAGAGAGGAAACAGAGACCCCAGGCTAATTTAACCTTTTGCCAGATGGAAAGTGCAGCAATGGCCCTTTTAAAAGTGATGGGAATGGGCCTATCCCCAAGATGAAACTTACAAAAAGGCACTTTTCCAGCCTGAAACAGAAGATTGAACAGGTTTTTTTACCACCCTATTTCATGAATATTTACATTTCATATATCATCCTGTACCCAGAAACCTTTATTCAATCATACACCATTTGATAATACAGCACTTTTGGCAATTTTTGAAGTTACAATTCAAATAAATTAAGAAATTAATTTAAAAAATCATAGTCAAAGTTATCTATATAGAATACTCTGCATGTAGTTGTGCAAATGCAATTTCAGCAATAATCCTCAAAATGTTCACTTAATCATATTTTCACAAGCTGATAGGATCACAAAATCTCCTCAAAGAGGCTATCAATTACACAAATGATCATCAAGAGGATGCCACTCATTTTCTTGCAGATTTGGCTCAATGGGAATACTTTTAACTCAAAATGTTCATGTTTCACCTAAGAACTTGAGAACATCATCTAGACTGGCAATGACAGCATGGAGGGAATATTGTTGAAGGTGTTGATCTTTCAGATGAGATGTCAAGGACTGATGTAGGAATGCACAGCTAATACTACTGGGTGAGTAATCTAGAATCTTAGACTAATGACAGAGAATCCAAGTTCAAATCTAAATGTGACAGCTCAAGAATTTGAATTCTTTTAAAAATTATAATAGAAAGCTGTTATTTGAGGCCAAGAAATGGTTTACTGTCATAAACCTAATGCCTTTCAGTGAGTTAATTCTACTAAATAAAAACGGAAAGAACTGCGGATACTGTAAATCAGAAACAAAAATAGAAATTGCTGGAAAAGCTCATCAGATCTGGCAGCATCTGTGCAAAGAAATCAGAGTTAGCGTTCACGTCGAGGAACCCTGTTCAGAGTTCTGAGGAAGGGTTTCTCAACTCAAGCATTAACTCTGATTTCTCTCCACAGATGCTGCCAGATCTGCTGAGCCTTCCCAGCAATTTCTATTTTTGTTTCTTGTTAATTCTACTATCCTTGTCCAGTATATCCTAGATGTGTGAATGCAGCCCCACGTTAACAGTGTGAAGAAGTCTAGCCACCTCTATCAAATCACATTGGGGTAGTTAAAAAAGGGGAACTATTATTTCAGGTCAATTAAGGAAGAATGAAATACTGGTCTTGCTAGTGATGATCATATTCAAAGAATGAATTAAATATATTCATTGGAGTATCCAAAGAGCAGCACTGAATTCTCCCAATGTTTTAGCCACCATTTCTTACCCATTAAGCACCAACAAAACATACTATTAAGGTATTGCTTATAGGACATTCATTACAGCCACGCCACATACTCATTTTAAAAACAGAACTCACATTTGTAAGACATTAATGTTCATCTCAAACACAGCTTATTTTATCATAAATGTTAAAATATATTCCTCAGAAAATAAATTTGAATTTATTTCATTTCACTGTCACTACACAGTCAGGGTATATGAGCCCTTCCTAATTTCAAAAGACATAGGAGCTGACAATTTAAAAGCATACCTCTTTAAAGGCCTCCCTGAATTCACCACCTGGGGCCATGCCCAGCTGTTCAGTGATGTGTGCAGAGACCTTCAACAGCAGTATTTGCATTAATCCAGACATTACTCCATTCTATTAAAACAAAGATGTATTAAAAAGCTTATCAAACCATCCAAAAAAAAACTAGATATAAACAACTATATTCAAAAACTAAAGCATCACGTGATTCAGTAAAAGGTTACCAAATGGTAATACAATGACTCTTGCTTATTGATTGATGGAGCTAGTTTAAAATACCAATATCTACAGATAACTGTCCTCACATGGACAATCTGTAAAAATCTTTATTTAACAATCCATTTATTCATTCAACAAGAAAAAGATCTTTTTTGACAGGTTTACTGGGCTATTTAAAAAAAATTACTGGAACTGCACTGAAACCTGTGCACCTGAAAAGTACAGGAGTGTCATTAAGCATTTACTGGAAAGAGGTGATAGAGAGAAAAAGGAGACAAAAGAAAGAGAGAGAAAGAGCAAAGGAAAATACAGGTTAGAGAGAGGGAATTCAAGGAAACATGCAGGATGTATGTAGTGTCATTCAAATAGTCAAGATGCCTAAAGTGTGTTACAGGCAATAAATTACTTTTCATTTGCAATCTTTTTTTTTGGCAACACAATTTACAAACAACAACAGAATGAAAAATCTGTTAACTTGGCTTTGGTAACACTGATGTGACCTGAAGTGAAATATCCTCCCCTTCTGTTAACAGTGCATTGGCATCTTTTAAGGTAAAGCCTGTTTTATCCAAAGGACAACACCTCAAACTGCAATATACCCCAGTGATTATGTACCCATAGGCTGAAATAAGACATAAACCCTGCAAACTTCCAATTCAAGAGCTCAGAGTGTCATCAGATAGGTTTGAAAGTGAGGATTGATGGGACTGGATAATTTATCGCAGCGCATTTCAGGTATGTGTGTCTGGTACTTAAGTCAATGAAATGACAATTCAGAATGCACTGCGGCATGCTGTAGATGTATTAAAAGCATTATCCTTAGGACAATGAAGCGCAATTTTAAAATTAAAACCTACTCCAGTCACTTCATTAGTCTAACTTGTTTACAAATGATTTTGATACTGCCTGCTTTCAGCATGTTCATCTTCAAAAGGAATCCGATAGCTAAGTCAATTTACACGTGGTGAAATTCAAAAAAGAAAATGTTATTAAACGAGATGTTATTTAACTTTATAAAAAGTGCAAAACTAAAGATAATAATGTTAAAATCAAACAAATGCTATTGAACCTTAGGTTTTAAAAAATATAGAATTGAGGATTTGAAAATATTTTAATGTTCAAAAACATATTAAAATACATCTGGAATTTAGAACATATTTAAATTGGGATTGAAGTGATTTTCAGAGGAGTAAAGATACTCAAGACACAAGATCCAGATCCTTAAAATCCAGACAACAATGGATAATATGAATGTTTGGCACATTTTAGGCAAGACTTGAAGTCAGAAGGAATTACCTGTCCTCAAACAAATAAATTCTTGGCAAACACCGTTAACACTGTCCCCTAAATACATTCTAAAAAAGCTGGATAAATATATTGTTAGGATTGAAAAATGGATTTAGGATGAGAAGAAATAAATATGAGTAAATACTCTCTAACAAACATCATATGGACAACAGCAGCCATGGAAATATCAGGCCAAGGAAGACATTGCACAAGGATAAATTATGCAAAACAGATTTTAATACCATTTCACCATTAGTGTAGGCAAACAAGCTGAGCATCGAGTTCACTGATGAGGAATTTCATATCATAGCTGGGTACCTCATCCAATGTGGAATTTGGCAAAGATGTAGTGATGGTTTTCTTGTTTCGACATAACTAACACTTGTGTTGAACATCTATTGAACAGGGAGGCTAACTCCACTGGTTTGATATCTTTCTTGTTTAGAGTATGGGAATCAAATGAAATTCAATGTAAACAAGTGCAAAATATAAAGATGAACTAGCAAAATTGCTACAAACCAACCTTTTATGTACTAAACGTAGATAAATCGGACTGAACGGACTACCTGTTTTATAGCTTGTTGCAACTTGTCCAGATTAATTTCTCTGGCTTCCTTTAATAATGTCTTTTCATCCATTTTGAGCATGGAGACTCTGTACTGACATAGTTCCACAACCACCACATCTGGCTGTACCTCTTGAATAGTCTGGAACAAAATTACAAAATGATAAACACACCAACATGCTTGTAACAGGTCAAAGTTATTAACATGCGGTCACTACCTTGACGGTTATTTAAACGGATTCCATGAGCTGCTCTACATTTAATATGTCGGTAACAGAACACTACTGAATTTGCCTACATTAACAGTCATGATATTTCAAGAAAGTGTGTGTAACATACTCAGACATTTTGATTGATAGACATAAATAAAAATGTCTATTTACAATAAGAAACTTACATCTGTGTACAGTTTCTGTCTTTTTTTGCACCATCACAAATTGTCTGGTATTGTAAACTGCCTAATGTGAACTCATTGCATAGGAATAACACACTTACCAATGATAGCGCTGTATCAGCTTAGTCAGCAATCTGTAATAGGACTATACTCAATTGCAACTCAATGTATATATCTGGACAACTGATTATTAATACAATTTTAGCAATATAAATGTTCAAAATAATTTGATTCACCCTGACAGGTGCTCAATGTAAAAATCCCGTGCCCATCTTTATGCATTCCCAATCCTGCACTCAGCCAGCGTCCACATCAAGCAGGCATGGCTCCACAACAGTAAGCAGTAGGGAATCAAGACTTTTTCCTGTCCTATCTTGCACCAATTGTTCTTCTGAATAAGGGAAATATACAAGAGCAACTTTTTATCTGAAGCTGTCTAATGATGCAAAATTCCATCAGCTGAGATCACCTAACTCAGTAAAAGTATTTAGTTGATACGTTCTCAAATCACATTTTACAAAAGTTAATTTGTGCAGTGATAATACAAACACAGCAGGATCCCACTCATCCAAAATGGTCAAGACACATATCTACTTGAGTAACTTTGGGTCATTCTGATCAATGTACTACTTCTGATGTAACAGAGTGTTAACGAACTAAATTATGGATTGTACTTTGTACAGCATGACAAAATGATTACAGTAATAACATGGAAGACACAGTGAGCCACAAGAGCATGTAGAATTCATTGTGTTTAATAAATAAAAAATGCATAAATCATTTATACAAATCATTAACAAAACTGCACTCTTTCCATTCTTCCTGACCTAATTGATTCTTCATTACAAATAATTTCTTTTAAAAACTTGTCATAAATATTGCGGTGTCATACAGATTATAGCTCTGGAATAATCATCAGTAGCAAAGAAAGGATGTTAAAGGGCTGCCCAAATTTCTGAAGCAACTATGGTGATTTTCCCAACAAAAAAAAAACGGAACTTTTTATATCAATTACATCACTAACTGGAATTTGACCGAGGAAAGCTGAATGTAGGTACTGAAGTGTACACAACCTCTCCGGCCTGAATAAAATAATTCTGGTCTTAAAATTGGCTTTTGGGACCAACCTTGTTATGGATTAAATTTGAACATTCATAATACATGTTGTGTTCCTACAAGGGTCAAGATTCTATTGCTTCAGCATTTATCCTTTGTTCAAATTCAATATTTTAAAAAATTACAACTTTTCTCATTATTACCTTTACAACATCTTTTCGACTACTCTCACTGAAATGGGCTGTGCCAACTAGATAGACTTTACAGCCATCTTCTGTGCCAAGTTCAGTAACTGTGTCTGGAAGATTTGGTTTCCCTTGTCTTTTTCGCATCTTCATCTCCCACAGAAGTTTAAAAGCATCTTCATCTGCTGTAAGTAAACAAATATGTTACAGTAATTTATCCAACACACTGCCAGATGCCAGCAAAACTGTAGCTGGGAGCTGCATTATAAAGTACGCTATACTGCAACTTCAAACTGCCAATTGTAGGAGGCTGTACAAATCTTCTTAAAAACATTCCTACAAAATGAATGACACAACCAGGACTAGAGGCCAAGTTCACAATAATGTGTAAAGTTTTGAGTAATTTTTCTCAGTTATTTACATGTTATTTTTGCAATGTATTAATTGACCTTGAAAGCCATGTCAGACTTATAGAAAGGGATATCGGTCCAAGTTAACTGTTGTCATGTGTAACAAACCTGTGCAAATGTTTTGTGAGCAGCAGCATATGAACTATGTGTTGATACAGTAAATTCAGTTTAATATTCTAATTAAACTCAAAACTACATTTGAGAAATTGTAAAATATTTCTACTTCCAATAAAGGTGTTTGCATTCCAGTCATTGCACAAACAAATTGATGAGTTTGATGAATTGATCATCAAAACTGATGATGTTTATTTTGAATAAATGAACACCTACTCAGGCCTGGATGTATAATACCCAAATTCCCATTACGGTTTGCTCATTGAAAGAAACAGCAGAAAAAAAAAATCAACATTTTTATTAAAATCATTTGCTAAATAAACACTGCTAAAAGAGAGAGAGGAACAATAAAGTAAAACACTGCTTTCTTCTTGCATCCTGAAGGTTGATGAGTAAGGAAACACATCTACTTAATTTTTCTGCAACTATGAAGTATGAAAAACACACTGCAGCCACCAACAGTGCCATGTCCTCAGTCATTTTAAAAAAAGGCTTGGTTACATTGAAAACATAAGGTTATCAAAATAATACTTTTCCAAAAAGGGAATTTTTGCTAGTCTAAGACAGAAGTTTTAAATTCCAAGCAACTGCAACATACATGAGGGCCATGAATAATAACGGAAGACACTGAACTTCAATACTTTTGTTAAAGTGTTTGCTAAATGTTAAAGTGTTTTATTAACTCAGTTTTCCCCATTACATACTTGCAAAGTGTCAATTAAAACTACAGGCATGATTTAAAGGTTGAAAAAATATTTCCCGGCTTAGATCATTCCTGATGAGCGTACTGAAATAAATGAAAATATAACCCAGAATACATCTTCTAGAATCATAGCATCCCCACAGTGCAAAAAGAAGCCATCAGCCCATCAAGGTTGCAATGGCCCGTCTGAAGAGCATCCACGCAGACCCACACCCTCATCATATCCATGTCACCCCACAATTACCATGGCTAATTCACCTAGCCTACACATCCCAGGACACTGCAGACTATTTAGCATGGCCAATTAACCCAATCACTCAGAGCACCCAGAGGAATCCCACACAGGGGCAGAGAGAACACACAAACTCCACACAGACAGTCACCCAAAGCTGGAATCAAACCTGGGTCCCTGGCACCGTGAGGCAGCTGTTCTAACCACTGAGCTACTGTACCGCCTGCAATGGGGGCCACTAGAAAATTAATGACTGAAACAACTTTGTACAAACCTTAATTTCCATGCCCTTTAAAGGACCCATTTAACAAAAAATCTGTTCAACTTCTTTGTAAGTTAAGGTGACCATTGATTGCACTTATTTCGTATCTCCTGCTAAAGTTTTCTTGCAGAAGAGGGAAATCTCATCAAGTACCAAGTACCTAACGGATCCTACAGCTGAGTAACTCCTCACTAAACTTGAAATGTCAGTTTTTTGGTAAACAAAATAAACTTAAAGATCATCAAATCAATTGTAGCATTTTAAAATGTTATCATAAACCAAAACCTCAAATTATATTCATCCTTCACCGCGAGAGAGAAAATATGAGATAATAAAAGAATATTTCTTCCATTGCAATTACTCCTCTCCACACAAGTACAGATAGCTAAACTGCTCTTGCGCAATGGTGGCATGTACTTATTGAGCTAAATGTTTACAGCAAAGGAGGTGAGCCTATGATAGGCAAAATTGAAAAATTAGGTGAAGGGCTAAAATCCACAGAAATCATCAACACTGAAAAGACTAAAGGGGATGAAGTAAGTAGGGAACCAGTAACTGGAAAGAAGTACACAAAGGAACGTAATTAAACAACGGACCATCTTAAGTCACTGAAATATCTTCATGGAAATGGTATTATTGATGAAATGACCAAACTAACCCAGGTGACATTGCTGTTACCTTAATTTTACCGTATTTATTGTTTGGTAAGTAAATATGAAAGACTTACATAAGTTTTGCTGAACATCTGACATGTTCTGTGGATCATCAGCAGATACTGCTAGGGGTGTCAGACTTGCCACTGCCTAAGGACAAAACAAAGCTATTTTAGGTTCTTTAAAGTTCTGAAAGCAGTTCATAACTTTCAGTCTTGTTAAATCCAACAGATGTTTTCAAAATAATGCCATGCTGGAATCAAACGGTATTAATAGACTTAGCAATTGCAATGTTTTAGTATTGATTTAAATACTGACAAATGATTGAGCCCAATTTCAACGGCAGCAGTAGCCACTTTAAACATTTCCAGGTCACTCACATTTCAAACGTACACTATTTTTGTCAGTCACTGCATTATCTTTCATGCTTTTTGCTTTTGCTCAATGCTCGTTTTCTCATCCTCCTTACCATGTACCAGCTTTCTTTAATCAATTTTCACATTAGGTCAGTGATCCATCATTCTTTGTTGGGTTTCTTCCTCCTCCCAATCTTCTACATGTTCTTTTGTTTTGAAGATCTTTCATTGCTCCTCAGTGTTGTCCAACCTCTCTAGTATTTCAAATCTGTCAGAAGGCCAGTTGGAAACAGTCTGACATTTCTTATTCTTTACTTTCTCTGTCGCAGAAACCGTTGTGATTCAGTGGTTATTACTTTCTGCAGCTTCAAGTGGATCATGCCTCACACAAAGTGGTGTTTAGATCCTATATCCGCAATTTGACATGTCCCAATATATTACAGTGTCACCCTCCATCTGTTGAGGATGCATATGTAAATCAATCTCATTCAAGACTTGAGCATTTGGAAATCTCCATGTCTTTGCACTTGTACTTGAAGTTACACTGAATACTGAACCCGTTGCTGTTGGAGAAAACCAGCAGACCCTCACTTTTCCATAAAGCATGCTTGTTGACCCATAGGGCTCAATTGTACTGTTCAGCTGATTGCTCCTAAGCTTAGCACTGAGATCACTGAATTTATATCACAGCTCAGAACTTCATCCAGCACATCTTGCTATCCATAGGACAATTAATCTTTCTCCCCTTCTGTGTCAGCTTATGTTGATGTGTAAAATTGCAGGTCATCGATTTTGGTATGTCTGGTATGGGATGTGACAGTGATGCTGTAATGGTCTACTGGTTTCCATCCAACTAACCACTTGTTCTAAGTATCTGTTGAGTATGAGGATAACTCCGTGGCTGTGTTTTCTTCATGCCTAGAGTACAGGATTATTGCGCCCTCAAACATGGACATAGGAGCAGAATTATGAAGGTGAAGAGAGTGACTGCCCTTGACATCAAGGCTGCATTTGACTAAGCGTGGCCTCAAGGAGGCCACAGGAATTGGAATGAAAACTCTCCACTGGTTGGGGTCAGTCATCTCAGGTCCAGCATATCTCTGCATATATTCCTTAGGGTTGTATTCAAGGCCAATATCTTCACTTCTTCAGAAATTACTTCACTCCAGCATGAGTTCAGAAGTGGGGATATTCACAAATGATTGCATAATGTTCAGCACCATTTACGACTCCTCAGATATTGAAGCAATCCATGTCCAAATGCAGCTAGACCTGGACAACATCCAGGATAGGCTCTCAAGTAACAAGTGCCAGGAAATGAACATCTTTTCCAAGACAGAATCTAACCCTCACCACTTGACATTCAGGGGCATTACCATCACTGAATCCCCCACAATCCAGATCGAGGATTACCATTGACCAGAAACTGAACTAGGCTAGCCACATAAATACTATATCTACAACAGTAAGTGTGAGGCAAAGAATCCTGCAGCAAGTAACTCATCACCTGACTCCACAAAGCCTGCCCTTTACATGCAAGGGACAAGTCAGGAGTGCGATGAAATACTTCCCATTTGTCTGGTTGAGTGTAGCATCAACAACACTCAAGAGGTTTGAAAGTAGTTTGATTTATTAGCGTCATTTCCATAGAGTTAGTTGAAGGATCAAGAACAAGGGATCACACCATTAAAGCGAAAGGTAGGAGGTTTACAGGGGATTTAAGGAAAATTCTTTTCAACCCAGAGAGTGGTGGGGGCTCTGGAATGAACTGCCTGGGAGAATAGTTGAGGCAAGTAACCTCACAATCTTTAAAGAGTACTTGGATGAACACTTGAAATGTCATAACATTCAAGGCCATGAGCCTAGCATGGGAAAATGAGACTAGTGTAGATAGTAGTGTATTTTTGGTGATACAGATTAAATGGGTTGAAATATTCGCTCCCTCCAATATTAACACTCAGAAGCAGCAATATGTACCATCTATTAGATGAACTGGAGAAATTCACCAAGGCTCCTTAAACGGCACCTTCCAAACTCAGGGCAGCAGATACATGGGAACACCACCACCTACAAGTTAGCCTCCATGTCACTCACCATCTGACTTGGAAATATATTGCCATTCCTCAGCGTCACTGGGTCAAAATCCTGGAACTCCCTCTCTAAAGGCATTGTGGGTGTACCCAAACTAACTGGACTGCAGCAGCTCAAGAAGATAGTTCACCACCACTTTCTCAAGAGCAATTAGGCATGGGCAATAAATGCTGGCATGGCCAGCAAAGCCCACATCCCATGAATAATATAAAAAAATTTTATCACAAAATAATTCAACCAACTCACCTCCCTTTGGTCTTCCTCCATTCCCAAATTACTCTTTAAAGGTAGTTATTTATCAAAGAATCTGCTGGTCGAGACAACAAGAGTCAATTTATAGCTTATTAGAACTTGACAAGTAGAATGACAGATGGACCATATGGCCCCTTGAGTTTGCGTCACCACTCTCCCACCTGATCCCCACATTCCTTCATTCACCTAGAATTCAAAAACCTACCAATCTCAGCCCTGAGAACACTCTGTCAGAACATCCACTATTCTTTGTGCTAGAGAATTTCATGGATTCACAAGCCACAGTCTGAAAAGGCTGTGCTCCTTTCTTGAGAACGTGCCCTTTAGTTCTAGAGTCTCAAGCCATGAGAAATAGCCTCTTAACTGAACATTATGGAAATCTGAGGGACAATGTTTCAACTGATATGTTAATTGCAGTAATTTAATTCAATCATTTATGAAAATTTGGCTTTTCAAATACTTTGCTTATAAACAGTGGAAAATGTTTAATGTTAAGAAACTTAAAATATTTTCTATTATTTCAATACAAAACAAATAATTAATAGTTTTTGAAAAATCAATCCTTTTCATTATATAACAACCATGAACTTATTTGATTATTTGGCATCCAACTAAAATTAATTAGGCACTTCAACTTAAATACGATACAACAACATTGCTAGAACGGAACTGAAATACACTGACCTGACCTATCCCAAATGAGAATAAAGTATCAAATAGGGGTTGGAATTCTTACAGAAAAGCTTACTTGTTTTTAAAATATGATTACACTTGAAAATAAAATCCCCAAATGCAAGTGATAAGAATTAAAGCAGCCAAAGTGACATATTGCTGAAATACTATGCGCTACCAGCTCTATCTTTGATAATGATGCTTTGTGCTTCAAACTCAAATACAAGGCATAAACAAATATAAAAATTGCCCAAATAATAGAAGACAATAAAACATAACAGCAAAACAAGAGCATTTGATGTGAGTCATCAGAATTCTCATGACTAGATTACTTATTTACTGGTATCTCACAATTCATTTCTGTTTAAGCATTGATTTCCTTACTGCAATCTAACAGACATTCTATCTAAAAAAGTTTCATAAAATCCTTACAAGTGAAAATATTTCAGTATGCGTTGGTATGGCTAAAGGAAACTTTGAACTGATTATCACAAAGCATCATGAGGCTATTTTTAATCAATTACAGGAAATTCACAACTTCACTGGTCTTGAAAGACTGACCTTGCATTACCCACCAATAATCCAACTGAGGAATTTACACAGAATTGTAAACAACGAAAACAAAAGATTGGGACTGACAACTGCCTGCAATTAATTGTTACCTAGCATTCATCAAATTGAAGTTATGATATGCAAGCTTTTCTTACAAAAGTGGCTTTGGTCTCAGAACAGGAAAAAATTCAGTCGTTTTTTTGTTGAGTCCTGATTGATAGACTCATGTCCTAAACAGCTCCCATCACTACCACAAACACAAATGTTGCAGCATTAACCTGAGTGTACAGTTGGTAAAAGGGTTCTTGTTGCAGTGTAGTGCCACCACCTTTGAGCCAGGAGTACCTGGCTTGAAGTCCCATTTGCTCCAGAGATGTGTAACAACATCTTTAAACTGACTGATTACAAAGTATTTACAAAGAGTTACAGTAACAACAATTTTGGCACTTTGGCTGTTTAAAATCCGCCCTCTTACACCTCGAGGTTTTAATATCAAGTGCAATTCCATCATTAGAATTCAGTGGTCAAGAACTGTCTTGGATTAATTCCTGTCTCAACAGCATTACCTTTCTCAAAGTGAGGAGCAAATCCTTGTACACAAGTAAATGGAGTTTTCACTGCATCTCTGGTGAAATAACAGCTATAGGAGCATGTTAAACTTGAGAAGATGTGGAAAAGATTTACAAGGATACTGTTGGGATCGGAAGATTCAAGTCATAGAGAGAGGCTGGGGCTTTATTTTCTTGGAATACAGAGCCTTATACAGGTTTATTAAAATCTTGAGGAGCATGGATATGGTGAATAACCCTAGGGCAGGGGAGTCCAAAACTAGAAGGCATGGGTTTAAGGTGAGAGGGGAAAAAGATTTAAAAAGAACCTGAGGGGTAACATTTTCATGCACAGAGTGGTGCGTGTATGAAACGAGCTGACAGACAAATTAGTGGAAACGGGTACGATTACAACACTTAAAAGGGATGTGGATGGGTATTTGAATAAGAAGGGTTTACAGGGATATGGGCCAAATTCTGGCAAATGGAATTAGGTCACATTGGGATCTCTGGTCAGCAAGGACAAGTTGGACGAAAGGATCTGTTTCCATGCTGTATGACTATGACTCTAATAGGCTTCCATGATGGTGCAAGCAACTTCACGTAATGCAAGACACGAGATGAAGCAGACAGCACTCGACTAAGTCTGGGGTCAGGTTTCTTGTTTGTGTAACAAGCAACAATGAATCACTGCATTGCTCAGTTCTACCATCTCAGGTGGTAGAATGTCTGTTAATTCTTTGTGCAAACATGAGCATGGATCTCATTATTCATTCATTCATTCATTCATTTCTAAACTTAAGGGGAAACAAAGCAGGCAGTAACACTAAATCCAAGATGGACAAATTTTTACAGAAAGGTTCACAGCATTAAAACTAAAAGGCTTTTGTCCCTTCCCTCTAAACATCATGTGGAAATGGGCATTCAGATATCCCCTGCAGAAATCAGGCCAACGAGCCTTTAATCAAATTTCTGCAACAGAGTTAATGAGATTTGCAGCTATTCATTGCTCTATGGCAGTGGAGACTCCAAAGCTCATGAACACTTCTCGGGAGAAATTATGCAGGCATTTGAATCTATATATAGGTTATTACACATTTATAACTATTCATTTCAGTCAGTGGTATTTAGTAAGAAAAGCAAAATGATATATGAAAATACCACATACTGCCCCTAGAACACGTGGTCCTCTTCACGTGCTGCACTGATGCCACAGGAAAAAATAAACACCAATTGCAATGAGATGCTGGAGCTTCATCACCTTGGGAACCACCATCAGTGTTGGTCTGCAAATAAAATAGTTCAATAAAATTCCAAACTTTACAAATAAGGTGATTGTTTAAGCTCACAACAACTTTAATTTAGAGACCCACCGACTCACTTTCTAGTTCTCTATCCTACAAAATAAAGGAAATGCTATGGAGCAAGTTGTCTTCAAATACTAGAACAAACTTGCATTTGTACACTGCTTTTTCCAAACGTAGGATGTTTAAAAACAAATCAAAGCTAACGGAAGTACTTCTGAAGTGACAATTGTTGTAGAGCAAACATTGCAGTCAACTTATTCACCACAACATCTCACAAATACAAATAAGATAACTGCTGATGTTTCTCAGTGAAGTTGACTGAGGGATAAGTATTGGCTGAGTGTCGGAGAATGCTTCTGCTCTTCAAAATGGCATTGCATGCATACATGGTCTCATTCTAATATCACAAATGAAATATCACAAGTCCAACATTGTAGCACTTCCTCAGAATTGCTTTGGTATTAGTCTAGATTTTGTGCTCAACACTACCAAACAAAGCTTGGACTTATGATTTTCGGATCTAATTTATAAGAGTGTTACTATGGAGCTACAAAAATACAAGGGATACGTATTGAGCACAAGGACACTTTTGGCACTAAAGGTGATTTTTAACTGAAAGTCTTAGATCCATAATAACAAACTTTTTACAGTTTTATACTCAAGAGTACAGAGAAGAATTTAACTGAATTGAAGATACCCGAACATCAACCTTTATGCAGCACCCTGTTGCTGACTCTTCAGCGTCTGAGCTCACTCCAACGATATCAAACTAGCCAATTTGAATAAAACAGGAAAAACTTAATGTCTGACAAGCAAAATTTACATACTTATTACAAGCTTATGAGTTGCCAAACTCATATATGCAAATAAATCTAAAAGCTGTTTATGTCAGAGAAATGAATGATTCTGCAACTCTCAGACACCTGGCTAGACACAAGAATTAATATTCTGGAGGTAAAAATGTGAGGCTATCAATGCTGACAACACATTACACATCTAAAAGAGTGACCATTCATACACGATTAAATGCAAAAATCTGAAAGTTGCAGTTTGAGTTGCTCTATTCCTTCAGCAGCTCCAATAACAGTGGTTGAAGTCTGTAGTTAGAGGTAAAGCAATGATGATCATGTCTAATCTCTGAAGAAGGCTGCTTCTAAAACTCTAGCCAACTTTGTGATGCAGATTTCTTATTTCCCAACATCAGTTTGAATCTTGTGTGCCATTGTGAGACTCTCCAGGTGTCCGGCCACAGTGACATCAACAAGGAGTTCAATAATACTGAAGTATTCCAGCAGTTGGAAAAGCAAGAAGAAAAAACACTTGAATCCCTTCACTTTTAATTCTTAAATGTTACAGCTAGTAAAGTAAGTGATTGAGATATACAAACAGGATTAAAATATCAGATTAATAAAAATGCAGAATTGATCAGAGTAATGAAACATGAATTCAACAAATATAAAATTACTCTTTCAGGGTCATTTTGGCTGTTTCGCAGTGATCACAAACTTTGAACACTATTGAGAATCGATTACATCTCATTCAATAAAAGGCAATATCTTCACGTTTTTTTTTACAGCAGGGTTATGACCCTCAGAGTGGAAACTCTCAATTCAATGATTGATAAGTGATGACAACCTGGGAAGACTTCAATTGTGCATCCAACTGTGGAATCACTGACAACTTCTGGGTTTCTGTATCTAGATACACACACACACACACACACACACACACACACACACACACACACACACAGATAGCAGAATTTGTTGCCAGTTTCAGAGAAGTTTTAATGGTGAATGCTGACTGTAATTTTGCCATTGAAATATTTGGAGCAGTCCAAAGTTGCAGTTACAATGAAGATATACAGAAATCTTGCAAGAAAATGTTTGGACTTATCCACTCCAGTGCTAGTCAAATTTTAATAATGTGATAAATATTAATTACTGACAAACAAGCAATCTAGCACTGAAAATTTAGTTTCACAGGTGCGCAGCTATATTCTTTAGATCTTAAGAGATGGAAATAAATTTTAAAAACATTTTACTTCTCTTGCTTCATTCAATTTTTCCAATCCTGCCTATTTTCCTTTATATGCTTAGTCCAAAATTAAAATTAACTATCCTGACATTTTTTGGATCAGATATACACTACTCATTAATAACTCTTCTAATGTGTTGGTCTTTAAACAATCACATCTGCTTGTCCTGTTTGGACAAATTCCAGATCTCCTGTTGACTGTGCCATGGTGAAATGAATTTTTAAGCACAAGTTCCAGTGCAAAAGTATTGGAGCAAGTGCAAACCTAATGAACACCTCGTGCCATTTATTTATCACTGAGTCAAGATTTGAGCCAAGTTAAATAATCTGGGTCATTCTCTGTACTTGATTTTTTTTTGTAATCCTTGTTTTTTGGTTTCCCCATGACATAGAATGTAGGCAATTCCAAACTCAATTCAAGAAAAATTGAAAGAAGAATTGACTCAAATTTATCTGCATCTCACGAGCTCCTGTCAGTCTCCATGCCCACCAGAAAAATGTATTTCTGAACACGTATGCACAATGACCAATTTATTATATATTGGCCACCTACTGAATTGGTAGAATAAAGAAAGTGACATGTCATGCATTTGGAAGTTATGGGTCTCTTTGATGATCAATTTGCAGCATAAATGATATAGAAATAGACTTCAGGGATCCATTCAGATTAACAATGACTGCATTTTGCTTAAAATAGGACAGATGCACTGAGGCTTCCTGAATATACTTCATTTGACTCATACCAGAGATACATTACCAAAACACTTCCATTTAAACAGAGGGTGCCAGTGATTATACACTGTTTAAAACTGTCAGAATATTGATACCTATTAGATCAAAGCATGCAGGTACAACTTCTCTAAAGTTCTGCTCTTAAATAAGTTTGTCTCAATGTAGGTTCACGTATGATTCACTCCTCAATTAATTCAAGATTAGTGAAATATATTTTTATTAATATAATAAAAAGACTTAAATATCAGGTAGTTGGATTGGTTATTATGCACAAGTCAGTTTCATATTAAGTATTTTAATGCACAATTTGCTCTGTAATTGCACGTTTTGAGAAGGTTGTTGGGTAAATCAATTATGTGCAAGAATGCTAAATTGAGGGAAAACAAAATACATCATACAAGGAAACAAAGTAAGCTTAACAGCTTAACCTGTTTTGGAATAAAAAATCATTCTAACTAAATCAAAATATTGCTATTTCAACCACGGAAATACTATGAGGACTTTTATGAAACTGCCTTGCTGGGATCATTGCATGCGTTTGAGAGAGAGTGTGAGGCAAAAAAAAACACAGGATGAAGATCCAAACACTTTTTCTGGGTTACGAAGTTAATGATCTTGCAATAACACTACATTTTAACTAATTTCTCTTTTGGATACAGGTGACATACCTTCACCCGAAAAACCGTGCGAGACATTACTCGTAGTTATGACAATAAGCTCTTAATGCTATTGGGTTTGCATCGTCTTTAAATATCCTTAAAGTTCTCTGAAAAGTTTCACAGATGTAGTATCACATGAAGTTACCGACTAAGGGTAAAGCAACATCGTAAGTGATTGAAACAACCCTAGATTGTTCGGTTACTTATGGAATTCGTGGTAGTGGAGGTTTGAATCAAAACTGCATCCAACCATATGGCAGGCATGCTTCTCGCAAATCAGAGTGACGGTGAGATTATTGATTCCACGACAACAATGACGACAATAAACCAGCCCGAAAAGCAACTCACCATCGCCCGTTAGGATACCTAAACGGACCAAAGACTTGAAGAGACTAAGAGTCACAAAGAAACTCCAACTGCAACCCAGCCAGTTGTGCTAACCATGATGGGCGGAGAATTTTTGCCGACCGCTGCACCCTGGGAGATGGAGTTTCAATCCCCCATTCCCAAACTGTCAGCCGCGGTCACGGTGGACTACAAGTCCCAGGGAGCAGTGCGGCCCGTGCACATGCGCAACGCTAGGCGCTCACCTCCGTTAACCTAGGCCTCAGTATCCCTCCCTCCGTCCCGTCTCACCCGTCCGCGCTCTTACTTAACTCCTCGCGACAAAAATATATGTTTATACCTGCAGAGACAGAACCCATCAAGGAGATGTTTACCTCTCAAACAGCCACCGATTAAGTCCCCAGTGGAAGCTCATGCGCCAGGCAGGGTGCTGAAGCCGGGGTCCGGTGACGGTGGTGGTGGTGGGTCCGCGGTGGGGAGAGCGAGAACGGGAGCGCGCACCCTGCCAGCTGGCCGCGGCGCGGCCCCGCTAGTGCGTGACGTCATGTGGGCCGCGCACAACCCAACTGTAGCCAAAAGTTGGCCTTGGCTTCCCTGAACCCGCCTCACCAACACTTTCACTTCAAGCTGGCTGATTGGGATTTTTCTTTAGAAAAAATGATTTAATCCAAAAAGTTCGAGTTGGATTAATTATTTACTGCGCCTCCGTAAGCAGAAATTAAATATTATTCTGAGAAACTTGAAGTGTTTGACTCCTTTCCTCTCTCCAGAGAATGCTGCCTGCCTGAGAGTTTCCAACTTTTCCTGCTTTCATGTTAAACCTGCAATGGGGGTGATCACCTTATGGTATTATTGCTTGACTCACGATCCAGAGACTGGGGTGATGTTCTGAGGGCTTGGATTCAAATTCTACGATCGCAGAGGGTGGAATTTGAATTCAATAAAAATCTGCAGTTGACAGTAAAATGATAAATGCATACCCCCACTCCACTGTTACCATCAAGCCAGGGGTTTAACAAAGTTAACATTGGTTCGATGAAGAGTGAATGAGTCAGGAGCATTAGGGAAAGCTACTATCTACCTGGTCTGGCCTAAATGTGACTGTAAACCTACCACAGTGTAGTTAACAATTATCTGCTCTTTGAAATGGCTAGTAAGTTCAGTTGTATCTACTGCTAGAAAGTTTAAAAATAAGAATGAAATTGGACAGACCACTTGGCATTAAGGTAATGGAAATGACAACTATAGTCCTGTCCCCTGGTATGCACCTAATTCATTCTCATTAAACTAGAGCTAGAGCCAAAATTGCAGACTAGCCAAGAAACAGCCTGGCATAATCATATTCATGGAATCATACCTTACAGACAATGTTCCAGATAATACCATCATCCTTGCACCGATAGGATGGACCCAACAGACATAGTGGCATAATGATTTCCAGTCGACAGAGAGTTGACCTAGGAGTAATCAACATTGACTCTGTACCCAATGAAATCTCATGACATGAGGTCAAACATGGACAATGAAAACTCCTGCTGGTTTCCATTAAGAAACAGTTGGAGGGCATTGGAGACTGCAAAAGCTATGTGCCCTGACAAAACTCCAGCAATTACACTAATGCCTTATGCTTCAGAACTTGCTGCGTAGCTAGCCACAATGTTGCAGTACAGCTACAACATTGGCGTCTACTTGACAATGTGTAACGTTGTCCAGGTATGTCCTTTACACAAAAAAAGGGACAAATCTGACCTGACCAATTAAGCAAGAAGCTTCACATCATCCAGGACAAAGTAACACTTGATTGGCATAACATTCATGAACATTTACTCCATCTACAACGAACACTCATTCACGCCATCTTGTACCATCTAAATGATGCACCGGAGAAATTCACCAAAGATCCATAAACAATACCTTCCAAACCCATAACCACTACTATCTAAAAGGACAAATGCAGCAGGTACATGAGAACATTAACACCTGCAAGATCCCCTCTAGATTTTGTAGGTCTATCTACATCAAAGAGACTGCAGAGGTTCAAGAAGACCACACCACCACCTTCTCAAGGATGGCACAGTGGATCAGTGGTTAGCACTGCTGCCTCACAGCGCCAGGGACCTGGCTTTGGTTCTACCCTTGGGTGACTGTGTGGAGTTTGCATGTTCTCCCCCTTCGGGTGCTCTAGTTTGCTTCCACAGTCCAAGGATGTGCAGTTTAGGTGGATTGGCCATTGCTAAATTGCCCACAGTATCCAGGGACATGTAGATTAGGTGAATCAGCCGTGGGAAATGCAGGGTTACAGGGATAGGAGGGTGGGTTAGGGTGGAATGCTCTTCGGAGGGTTGGTGAAGGCTCGACGGGCTTAATGGCCTGCTTCCACACTGTAGGAATTCCATGATCTGGGGATAGGCAATAAACCCTGGCTGAGCCTGCAACACTATAAATGAATGCCAAGCATTAAACAGAAGATGCTGAAAACACTGGGTCAGACAGTAATGTAGGGAGAGAAACAGTTAATATAAAAGGTTGATGAGCTTTCATCAGAATTGAAGGTTTTCTTTTATGCTTCACTCTCTACCCTTTTTTATTCTTTGCACTTGCTTAGAATCTATTAAATCTTTAACCTTTTCCACTTTTGATGAAAGTCTATTAACATGAAATCTGAACCTTTTTCGCAGATGGCACCTGATTCGTTGAATATTTCCAAGATGTTACATTAAGATTTAATATTCCTGGTTCAAACACAGTAATGATTCAACCGTTTCATGGAGTCATACAGTACAGACGATCAAGTCTGTGCTGTCAAAAATATACTACTATCTACACTAGTTCCACTTTCCAGCTCTTGACTCATAGTCTTGAATGTCATGACACTTAAAGTGCTAATCCAATTACATTTTAAAGATTGTGGGGTTGTCCACCTCAACTACTCTCCATTCCAGTGCATTCCAGCACCCCATAACACCCTGCGTGAAAAGGTTTTTTCCTCATCACCTCTAAACCTACTGCCTTTCACCTTTTAATGATGCTCCAAGTTTTTATTATTTAAATTTTTTAAAATATGCAGGATTATGGGGAAAGGGCAGGATATTGGCATAAAGTTAAAATGTTCAAAGAGTTGGTACAGACGCAAAGGGCCAAATAGCTTCCTTCTGCACTGTAACAATTCCATGATTCAAATGATTGAAAACAAACTAATGTGGTGGCAATTGGCTTTTTGTGGCTAACACATACCTGAGTAACTTGGGGAGATGCCAGTGTCGTAGCCATACTGGAATAGCTTGGTTTAGGCTGTGACAATTTTGGAAATGCATGCCTTCATAACCAATGCCAGAATTGTCAGGAGTTACAGCCTTTGAAGAATCCAGTACCTTCATCCATTTCTTGAATCAAATTATGTGAAGACTGGCATCTGATGGAATTTAAGGATGGGGTCAACATTGATCATCTACTCAGCATGTCTGGCTAAAGATGGTTGCAAATGCCTTACTGTTGTCTTTTGCACTGATGTGCTGTGGTGCACCATCACTGAAAATAAAGATGTCTTTGAAGCCTTCTCCTCCTCCAATTAAGCTACAATGTAGCATGAGGTACTTAAGGTAAGGGGTAGAAAGTTCAGAGGAGATGTGAGGAAAACCTTTTTCAGCCAGAGGTTGATGGAAATCTGGAACTCAGTGCATGTAAGAGTGGTAGAGGCAGAAGCCCTCATAATATTTAAGAAAAAATTAAATGTGCACCTGTGATGCCAAGACATATAAGGCTACGGGCCAGTAAGAGAAAATGGAATTGGAACAGTTAAGTGATTGTTTTTGACTAGTGTGGATGCGCTGGGCAGAAGGGCCTTTTTTTCAAGATCTTGATGACTCTAATATAAGACCCAAGGATCTAATCAATGTTTGTACCTCCTCCTTGTTAGATCTTAAATCTCTCATTATATCATTTTCTGTTTTTATCTTTGCTAAACAATTTGGTTATTATTACGAGCATATATAATATTTTAAATCAAATATGTCACTCGTTGTATGTTTGACTAATTTCCATTTCAAAGCCTATTTTCCTGTCTTCAAAATAACGTGTGTTGACAAATTTTTATGCATGTGGATGTATTTATAAGTGCTTTAAGGAACTTGATAATATCAAATCCTTTTTATACAAGAAATTAAGAATTCTCTACAACAGTATATGTAGCAAGCTGGAGGATATGCAGTTTTACAAGCACAAAATCAATTCCTTCTCTGCTCAACAGCAAGGTCTAGGCAATTATTCACTACAATGAAGTTGAGTGTAACTTTGCCTGGCATTTTAAGGCCACAGTTTCAGCTACTGTAATAAGCAGATATTGAAGTCAATTTAGGCTAATTTGTGTTTGGCATATCCCATAGTTAGATGACATTGGCTGAGAGAAGCCTCTCTCCATATTTCCTTCTTGTCATCTTGAAAGCTATTTCTAGTGATAAAACATATCAGAGAAACATCCATTCACCGAGAACTCAAGGATTCTACAAAGGTTGCCAGTGCTGAGGATGGAAAATATCAACAAGTAGCTGTGATCTCAGATTCAATTACAATAACTCAGGGACTCCTATGAACTTTTAAAATGTATATTATTTACATTCCTGTATTGCATACTGGACACACTTCCCATTTTTAAACATTATACCTTTACCCATGCATGTGATTGATGTGTTTTATTATTTTTCTTGAGCTTACTAAGTAATAAAATTCAGCTTTCTTACACTCAATAAAACTATAGAATTGGTTCCTTAATTTTGACTAGCACTATGATTTAGTTGACGTGATGTAGCTGCATATTAATTCAATTAAAAATCTTTGTTGTGGACAACTCAGGTGTTTAAAAAGGAGGGAGCTGTATCATCTATCCTCACCTGATCTTAACACAATTCAAAATATTTCATTCTGTTCCAGTGATAAACTTGTATTCATATAAGACCACAGGATCTAATTGCCACTAAATATGCATTGGATGAGATCCGTTTATTTGCTGATCAGGCTGCAGGTCACAATGTTGGCTTTCATTCAATTTTTGTTTAAAATTTATAGTAAATTCAGCAGTTACAGATATTCTGGATTCTGTATCAATTGATCTATTTCAACTGTTAAGTTGCAAGGGGCATTTATAGTTTTCAGATAACTGTCTTTATTGCACTTTTTAAAATTGTGTGATCCATAAATTTACAGGGTGGCAGCGAGAAATTGTGTG